TTTCAACCCACATGCTCATTACAACAGGTGTAATTTCATGGGCACTGTGGCCCTCATTTATATATTTCAATATAAAACATCCCCACTACTTCCTACTTTTAACATCTGAATGTCTTCCTTACACCATCATCACAATGTTTTCATACATCATCACAATGTTTTCCTTACACCATCATCACTTTGTCTTCATACATCATCACAATGTCTTTCTTACACCATCATCACCTTGTCTTCCTTACACCATCATCACATTGTCTTCCTTACACCATCATTACATTGTCTTCCTTACACCATCATTACATTGTCTTCCTTACACCATCATCTCCTTGTCTTTCTTACACCATCATCACCTTGTCTTCCTTACACCATCATTACATTGTCTTCCTTACACCATCATCTCCTTGTCTTTCTTACACCATCATCACATTGTCTTCCTTACACCATCATTACATTGTCTTCCTTACACCATCATCTCATTGTCTTTCTTACACCATCATCACATTGTCTTCCTTACACCATCATTACATTGTCTTCCTTACACCATCATCACATTGTCTTCCTTACACCATCATCTCATTGTCTTCCTTACACCATCATCACATTGTCTTTCTTACACCATCATCACATTGTCTTCCTTACACCATCATCACATTGTCTTCCTTACACCATCATCACATTGTCTTTCTTACACCATCATCACCTTGTCTTCCTTACACCATCATCACATTGTCTTCCTTACACCATCATCACATTGTCTTCCTTACACCATCATTACATTGTCTTCCTTACACCATCATCTCATTGTCTTTCTTACACTATCATCTCATTGTCTTTCTTACACCATCATCACATTGTCTTCCTTACACCATCATCACAATGTCTTCCTTACACCATCATCACATTGTCTTCCTTACACCATCATCTCCTTGTCTTCCTTACACCATCATTACAATGTCTTCCTTACACCATCATTACAATGTCTTCCTTACACCATCATCTCCTTGTCTTCCTTACACCATCATTACATTGTCTTCCTTACACTATCATCACAATGTCTTCCTTACACCATCATTACATTGTCTTCCTTACACCATCATTACATTGTCTTCCTTACACCATCATCTCCTTGTCTTCCTTACACCATCATCTCCTTGTCTTCCTTGCACCATCATTACAATGTCTTCCTTACACCATCATCTCCTTGTCTTCCTTACACCATCATTACATTGTCTTCCTTACACCATCTTTACATTGTCTTTCTTACACCATCATCTCCTTGTCTTCCTTACACCATCATCACCTTGTCTTCCTTACACCATCATCTCCTTGTCTTCCTTACACCATCATCTCCTTGTCTTCCTTACACCATCATTACAATGTCTTCCTTACACCATCATCTCCTTGTCTTCCTTACACCATCATCTCCTTGTCTTCCTTACACCATCATCTCCTTGTCTTTCTTACACCATCACCACAATGTCTTCCGTACACCATCATTACAATGTTTTCCTTACACCATTATCACATTGTCTTCCTCACACCACCATCACTTACCATGTCACTAAATTCACTATCCTAACAGCAACAAAATCATCAGAACAACAGACCAGGTCTGGGTTCTTGCCACATCCACACCATGTGGTCAAGCTATCCTGGCATTTATCTCTGTCTTTCACTTTCTCTTTTGTTATCAAGTGCGCAAGTTGTCACTAAACAATGTACAAACAATATAGTATTCAAGTACCGAAGTGAGCTTTGACACCCGTATGAAAAAAAAAATGATAAACCGGAGATGAAAAAAAGCACAACCTTGCACATCCCTGAAATGGTTGTCCTGAGTCTGCACAACCAAGAGAGGATGTTATTTCTGCGATCAATTCACTGTGCTAAACAAAGAGATGAGTTGTCGGTATGAACCCTACTGTCAATAGGTGAGGAATCCTCACAATTATTCTGTGGTAAATCTAATTTGCAAAAGGGTGAAAATGATTTGCACATGGATGAATATGATTGCAAAAGGTTGAATATGGTTTTTACCAATCCTGCAAATGATTCTCACATACAATGCCCAGACTCTTACTTTGTGCTCTGGCAGCCATACTCAGTCATGTGATTGTGAACAATGGCTACATCTGCTGCCAACGAAGCACACAGTACTGGTGGGCCACACACAGTACAGGTGGGCCACACACAGTACTGGTGGGCCACACACAGTACTGGTGGGCCACACACAGTACTGGTGGGCCACACACAGTACTGGTGGGCCACACACAGTACTAGTGGACCACAGCCAGCCCAACCTAACAAGGCTGACATGAGAAATATTTGAGATCAGTGGTCTCCAGCCGAGGAGCCGCTAGTCAAACAGCTAAAATGCTGGGCTGTCACGTGGGAGACCCGGGTTCGAATCCCCGGTAAGGACGGGGATTTTTTCTGCAGAGTCAAAATAAAATCCTTATCTGCACGGTCGTGGCGACAGCACTAGCCATGTGGCTGTAAATCTTCAGGCTCAAACCCCCCCCCCCCCCCCCACTGCCTACACCGCAAAAGTGGTATCACAACGACAGTAATTGGCAGTTTTGGTCTCTAACCTCTTTCAGGTCCACCCCCTTGAGTATATGGCAAGACCCTCATGCCCAAGTCATTCTTTTAAGAAATGACTTTGGCTCCCAGGTCGACCAAGCCTTAAATGGGTGCCAGGTGAAGTCCTGGGAAGTAAAGGTGGCTGATGTGATGTTAACCACATCACCCACAGAGTGCCCACTGGTCTATAAAACATAGGTCTAGCCCTATATGCCCACCACACTTAATAGGCATGGAAAAGGGTCTTTTACTTGTTTACATTACCCACCTGAGATTAGTTTTACATGTAGAGTCCTCGGATCCTGCAGAAGTGAAGAAGTGTATTTTGATACTGGTCCTGCAAACCATTGCCAGCAATACAATAAAACAGATGTGATAGCACTGTTTGGAGAGTCAACATGGAACAGATTTACATAAGGCCAGTCAATGGGGTGGTTTGTAACAATGAGATACTAACAGACACAATCGAATGAAGTCAATCATGGGGCAGTTCCTTGCGAGTGTTCTGGGGCATGCTGTCTTAGGTCACAAAATATTAGAAGCATGTCGTCGGTGCCAAGTCGGTAAGGCACTTGATAATGATGGGTAACCTGACCATTATGTTACAGGCTGTACTCCTATCATGATTCCCAAATACTGCACGCAAAAAAATCTAGTTTCGTCATGCACATTAAGGGTTATGACATATACAAATTTCATAAACATTTTGTACTGCCTGGCAATAACATGAACTTTGTTAATTCATTCAATAGCAAGCAACTCACCAAGCATTTTTATTGTGTTTCCTTCAATGATATGCTTTGAATAATAATTTTCATTCTATTAAATTGTAACATTGAAATATTTTACCAGAACTGTAGCTCTTCACTGCCTCTCTAGAGAGAGACAATGTGTCCAATTCAGTCTAAGGATGAGGCACAAAGGACTTTGCCAACATATGTTACAGTTTTCTGGTGTAGGAAACACAATGTCCCTGCAACCTGGCACCAGAAAATGCTGAGCATAAAACACTGTAACCTTATGATGCTAAACACAGAGATCATGTGGGCTGTCCTAACCTCAAAGAAGACAAAGCTGTATGGTACACGGGAAGATATGAACTGCACGCTAGCTTTCATAAAGGTTTCCTGCCTCCTAGTATAAGTTTTCTGACAGCATGATCGAAGAAGTGGGAGAACTCTATCCTCCTTCTGGCCAGTGGTATTATTCTACCCCTTCAGAACCAATCAGTACATTTAAGCAGCATTTGTTTAGTACGAAAGGAGATACAACTTTTAAGCAGCATTTGTTTAGTACAGAAGGAGATACAACTTTTAAGCAGCATTTGTTTAGTACGAAAGGAGATACAACTTTTAAGCAACATTTGTTTAGTACAGAAAAAATACAGAAACAGGCACAAATCTACAGCTACACCTCAGCGATCAAGGCACTAGAAAATTTTTTTTTTTTTAAATTTACCGTTTCTTGCATATTTTTTAAACTTTCAATAAATACAAATAGAATATAGAATTAACTGCTTTCCTTCCCTCTGGTAATGAAACAAGAGGTTTTGTTCACTTAGCTACTAGGAGCAAAGTGATGTCATTAAAAAGTTATTACAACATAACAATGACAACACAAATTTTTAACAACAAAACTAATTGTTCTCACCCCAAAATTCAGAAATTTTGGGGATTCGGGGGGGGGGGGGGGGGTAGTAGTCTTAACCACCACTATGCAGTCACAGCCAATACCAAATCTGCTATACAAACATATTGGTCACTGCCCAAAAACTTCACATCAACAGAAACTTGAAAATGCCATGAAAACTGCTTTCTGTTGGTGACAGGGTTAAATCACATACAAATGAGGATCTCATGTACAGTATCAAGTCACATAATAGCACCAATCAACATTTGGTTCCCACTAACACACACCAAGGTTCTACGGAGTGGTTCTATGCTAACTAAAGTAACATCTAGCTGCACCTGGTTCTAATTGGTTATTTATTTAACAAGTTTCACTCACTGTACCTGGTTCTCTAGAAACTACTAATTAGTTAGCTGTACAATAAGTTTCAGTCACCACACACGGCTCTGTAAAAACCACTAACTGGTTAGTTATATAACAAGCTTCAGTCAATGCCCCTGGTTCTTAAAAACCATTTACCGTTTAGTTATATAACAAGTTGCAGTCAATGCATCTGGTTCTTAGAAACCATTTACCATTTAGTTATATAACAAGTTGCAGTCAATGCATCTGGTTCTTAGAAACCATTTAGCATTTAGTTATATAACAAGCTGCAGTCACTACACCTGGTTCTTAGAAACCACTAACAGGTTAGTTATATAACAAGTTTCAATAACTCCACAAAAACAACCCAGCAATTGTGAGATCTGAAGAGTGACAAAACAACAGTAACTGATCTCCCTCTCCTGCTATGAATTTTTGTTATCTGTAAGTTTCTGTGATGCCCCGTTGGCTTTCTGTCTGTTGTACTTCTTCTGAAGAGCTCGTTTCTTCTTGAAGTTTATCACCATTACTGTGATGTTGTCGAGAGATCCGCGATAGTAGGCTTGCAAGGCCAGACTTTTAGCTCCAAAATGTGGTTCGTCAAGTCTTTCACTGATATTTCCGGAAAAGAATTTTGAAAAATATTACCAAAAAAAAAAATAAAAGGCTGAAGAAAAGAAAAGAAAGAAGTTCAGGCAATAAACAGACTAATACTGAAAACAGAAATTAACCCCACAGCAAAGATCGACACAGTGGTGTGAGGTCAAAAGTAAAACTAGCCGCCTTCTGGTGTGCTGGGCATATGGGGCTAGACCTATATTTTATAGAGTAATCGGCGGGTGATGTGGTCAACATCACGCTAGCTGCCTTTACTTCCCAGACTTTACTTAGTACCCACTCAGGGCTGGGTCGACCTGGCAGCCAGTAATTTTTAGAGAAAAAAAAAGGTATGGCTCTGTCAGGACCCGAATTCCCAACCTTCTGATCCACAGGCAAAGGTACAGCAGCTCCCAGTGGTGTGAAGTGAAAGCACTTTATACAAGTAAATCCTTTGAAAGAATGGCTGGTTAAAGAAAAATATTTACATAAGTTTCCTTGAGACATCACAACAAATGCTTCATTTCCTTTTCATTAGAAGTATCAGTGGCAACCTACTTACACACAAAAATAACTGTGTACACAAACATTTAGTGTCAACCAGCCTTGTCTTAACTCCCTGTTGACTCACTCTAGCCTGTCATGGATGCTCTCTTCCCATGCTCTATCCACTTCACCTCACAGAGCTTCCTCCACATCCACTTTATTATAAATTAGCTTGCCATCCTGAGAGGTGGCAGCAGCCAATCTGTCAGCATGTTTTTACTACATAAACCTGCATATTCTTGACTGAAAATCCAGAATATGCTACTGATGAGAGTCCTATAATGCCATGTTCTTCAACCTGCAGTCCACCAAAACTGTCTGACCAATCATGTAGCAGCTCCAACGGAACCCAAACTGAGAAATCAACAGATGTTACTGCAGCGCCTCATCTCTCAGAAACAACGCTCTAGCCATGGATATTGAATTTTCTAACCTCTAAGCAGAATGTCACATTTCCTACAAACTGTAACTGTCTTAACCGTCATCTGACATATTTCTCCCATCTTCTCGGTCGAAGAACACAGTTATAAAGTTATGAATGCCACTTCATGCGTAATAAACCTATTTCTATTTTCTGAAGCTTGCTTTTCAACTTGTGGGCTGTAAAACCAGCCAGCCCATGCCACTTCATGCGTAATAAACCTATTTCTATTTTCTGAAGCTTGCTCTTCAACTTGTGGGCTGTAAAACCAGCCAGCCCACGCCCCTTACAACATACAGTGGAACCTCGCTTAACGAGCATAATTCGTTACAGAATCATACTCGTTAAGCGAAACACTCGTTATGCGAAACAATTTTTCTCATTTAAATAATGTAAAATATGATAATGCGTGCCAAAAAAAAAAAAAAAAAAAAAAAATACAAAATGCTATGTATAACGTTTATTCAAAGAAAATTATATCCATAGTGTTGAGGAGAGTGAATCATCTTCAACTTTTCTTCAAACGCGAAATGAACCCACCTGAAATGCGAATTCGATTTGCAGAAAAACAAAGTTGAAATAATTATGATACATAGTTAATTTTTTTATTTTTACTAGAAAGATGACCAGAGACATTTGTTTTTGCCGACGCTTCAAAATTTGACGAAAATGCTACACAGCATTATCATTAAATAAATTTGCATCGCGCATAGCCACTTCCTTATTAGGGCAATGCTTCTCAATGTAAGACGCAACAGTTTCCCACGCTTTCAGCATTTCTCTTATTTCGCCAGAAGATTTTTGCTTTTCTGTTACCTCCTCCTCCTCTTCTGACAAACTTTCCCCCAAAACTTCTTGTTGTGAAACACAATGCAACTACATAAGCTCTTGGGTGGTCAGCTTTTGGCTGTGCTCTTCCAAAAGCTCTTCGATATCACTGTTATCCACCTCCAATCCCATGAAAGTGGCTAAAGACACAATCTCGTTGACTACAGGTTCCCCAGGTACTGTCTCGAACCCCTCAAAGTCACAAATCGACAACGCTCTCCGGGCAAAGCTTTTTCCTAGCAGAAGTTTGGGTTCTCTGGGTAACCCCTTCCCTCGCCTTGTCGATCATCTTGAGGCAGGTAACGATGAGGAAGTGGTTTTTTTTTCCAAAACTCTCTGAGAGTGAGGTTGGTCCCTTCAGTCACCTGAAAACAATGCTCTAAGAGTGCCTTAGTGTAGAGCTTCTTAAAGTTAAAAATAACTTGCTGGTCATGGGCTGGAGTAACGGAGTGGTGTTGGGAGGCAGAAACTGGATCTTGATAAACCTAATTCTTCAGAGAGGTCATCTAGTAGGGCTGGTGGATTCATGTACATATATCACAATATAACAAAAGTTTGAGAAAATGTGTGATCACAAGCGACACTACGATGCTACTGGAACGAGTGCTAAACACAGACTGATGTAACATACGCAAAATTGGGGACTTCTCTTCTCCTCGCCACTCGTTATGCGAAACGTCACTCGTTAAGCAAGTCATTTTTTTTACAATTTGTTTTGCTCATTATGCCAATTACTTGTTATGAGAGGTGCTCGTTAAGCGAGGTTCTACTGTATTTGGTAGGTCAACAGGTTACAATTCTTTGCTTTCTTTGTGATATCCTTTGTTTTCCATTGACTTTCCGTATGCTTTTTTTTTTCTTCTTTCATAATGCTTTTCTTTGCCTCTTACAACATACATAGTAGGTTACAGTGTTATAATTATTGTTTTCCTTATGCTCTTCTTTGCCTTTTTTTATGACGAAGTGATCAAGCCATTTGCCTGGCACTCCTAAGGTCATGCTTTTAGTTCACGGCTGTGTCATTTGGTTCACAAGCACATATATTACAGAGATCAATGGGGGATCATCGCCGGAGCAAAGAAGCTTGGGCTTTGTGTGGCGTTCTAAGCAAGCAGGTGGCTAGCCATTCTGCGAAGAGAGACTGAGTCATACGAAATTAAACCCAGTGCAATGAAGTGAATCCTCTCACCACTAACATTTAACCTTTATGCGTTCCTGATGATTTTATTTGTTTTCCTTTTTGTTTTCAATTGCTTTCCAGATGATTTCCTTTGCTTTCCCTATGATTTCATGTGTTTTCCTTTGCCCTCCTAATGCTTTCCTGATTATTTTTTTTTCCTTATTACTTTCTTTGCTTATCTGATGGTTTCTTTCACTTTCCTTATGATTTCATTTGTTTCCCTTTGTGTTCCTGATGGTTTGTTTTCCTGATTCTTTCCTTTGCTTGCCTGATGATTTCTTTTGTTATCCTTTGCTTTACTTACGATTTCATTTGGTTACCTTTGCTTTCCTGATGATCTGAACTGTTTTCCTTTGCTATCCCTATGCTTGCCTGATGTTTTCCTGATGTTTTCCTTATGCTTGCCTGATGTTTTCCTTATGCTTGCCTGATGTTTTCCTTATGCTTGCTTGATGTTTTCCTGATGTTTTCCTTATGCTTGCCTGATGTTTTCCTGATGTTTTCCTTATGCTTGCCTGATGTTTTCCTTATGCTTGCCTGATGTTTTCCTTATGCTTGCCTGATGTTTTCCTTTTGCTTGCCTGACGTTTTCCCTATGCTTGCCTGATGTTTTCCTTATGCTTGCCTGATGTTTTCCTTATGCTTGTCTGATGTTTTCCTTATGCTTGCCTGATGTTTTCCTTATGCTTGCCTGATGTTTTCCTTTTGCTTGCCTGATGTTTTCCTGATGTTTTCCCTATGCTTGCCTGATGTTTTCCTGATGTTTTCCTTATGCTTGCCTGATGTTTTCCTTATGTTTTCCTTATGCTTGCCTGATGTTTTCCTTTTGCTTGCCTGATGTTTTCCTGATGTTTTCCCTATGCTTGCCTGATGTTTTCCTGATGTTTTCCTTATGCTTGCCTGATGTTTTCCTGATGTTTTCCTTATGCTTGCCTGATGTTTTCCTTATGCTTGCCTGATGTTTTCCTTATGCTTGCCTGATGTTTTCCTTTTGCTTGCCTGATGTTTTCCTTATGCTTGCCTGATGTTTTCCTTATGCTTGTCTGATGTTTTCCTTATGCTTGCCTGATGTTTTCCTTATGCTTGTCTGATGTTTTCCTTATGCTTGCCTAATGTTTTCCTTTTGCTTGCCTGATGTTTTCCTGATGTTTTCCCTATGCTTGCCTGATGTTTTCCTGATGTTTTCCTTATGCTTGCCTGATGTTTTCCTTATGCTTGCCTGATGTTTTCCTTTTGCTTGCCTGATGTTTTCCCTATGCTTGCCTTATGTTTTCCTGATGTTTTCCTTATGCTTGCCTGATGTTTTCCTTATGCTTGCCTGATGTTTTCCTTTTGCTTGCCTGACATTTTCCCTATGCTTGCCTGATGTTTTCCTTTGATTTCCTTAAAAGCCCTGGTAACACTAAACTATACTAAAAGCTATAAGGAAAAGCTCACCTGATAAACTGCACAGCTTCTTCATTGCTAAATACATCCCAGAGTCCATCAGTGGCCAGTATGACAAAGTGGGGTTTGAACTCTCTTAGGTCGTAGATACTAAACTCTGGCTCCACAGTCACAAACTTACGCTGCTTCAGGGGGTAATCACCAAAGGCCCGGGAGGTAGCCAGAACTCCTGCCACACGCCACACACCATTGAACGTGACAAAACCACCAGCTTCCACGATCCTCTGCTGTTCTTTAGGCTGTGAGCAGAAATGGGAATTCTTCCTTGACACAAAACAATAATCTTGATTCAGTTGTAGTTTATCCCCTTTTTTCTTTCTGCCTTTATTAAGTGGTTGTCAGGTTATGTTGCAGTTTACAGCTAAGCTGTGACATCTGATTTCAGATACAACATGCTAGTTAAAAGGCAATGGGTCTATAATAAAGTGACTTCAAATGAAAACCTTAAAGATGTGATAGGAATGTCAGTAACCATCCCCTGTCTTGTAACCTGTAAATATTGTTGTTAATGATGTCAAGAGTGTCATGTCATGCACATGACATCAGGGTACAGATGAACAAGGTGACATTATAATGACAATTTAAAGATAGCCACCTACTTCAGACACACATCAAAGACGATCATTTTTTTTTTTACATGCACCAATGAGGTGAAACATTTTGTTATCCTTTTTGTTTTTAAATCAGTGAATGGATAAAACAGTCTGTCATAGAAGTCAAGCCAATTTTGAAACTTCCTATTCCACTCAAACACTTGTTGGACCTACAAGCATGCATCACCATAATGGACTCTAATTTGACATAAATTTCAAGATTACTGTAATTTCTGTCAAATTTTTCAGGATTTCATTTGAAGCCACGTCAAATTTCTCCCCAAAATAAGATCTTGGAACACACATAGTTTAATTTTATGAGTTAGTTAGTTGCGGATCCTTTACTAGAATTTGGAGAACCGACCACAGTATTTTACGTTCAGTAGGATTTGATGTGTCCACCTTGCCGCGTGGGGAGGATTTTATGTCTCCACCTTGCCGCGTGGGGAAGCTTGTGTTTCTCAACGTCCAATGAAAACTATGCCGGCAGTAGAGTAGATACCAGCAGGGCCTCCCAAGCCAGCAAGCTCAAAGGATAGAGAACAGACAAAGAGAGACACCATTGTCCTCCAGGTTGGGGGTTGAAGCGTGGGGCCGACACGCCCCACCTTCGTAAAACATCCTATCGTCATGAAACAGATATCTAAGCCTCGATTTCGGATTGATTTAAACAGACAACAAAACTGGAACGTTAAAGGACTTTGAGATTTGGAACATGGAATGTACCCACTCTTTATAGAACTGGAGCAGCTGAAGAATTGACCCATGAGTTATCAGAATATAGAATAGAAAACATATAAGTACTTGGGTGCAAACTTCAACTGCTCCAACATGCTGAGAGAAGACATACAATCTAGAATACAATCTGGAAATAAAGTATACTATGCCCTTCAACATCGGCTAAAGTCAAAGTCTCTATTTCGCAACACCAAGATCACAATATATAAAACATTGATAAGACCAGTCGTTTTATATGGCTCTGAAATTTGGAGCACAACTAAAAGAGATGAAGCTTATTACAGGTTTTTAAAAACAGAGTATTACGACAAATCTTTGGACCTATCAAAGATGTAAACAGCGGGGAATGTAGAGTGAGAAGCAACAACAAAATTCACAATCTGTTTAAATCACCACTGATCATTGGCATCATGAGAGCTAATAGGTTGAAATGGCTGGGGCATATTGAGAGAATGTCAGATGACAGAGATGTTAAAAACTGTATACACAAGGCAGATGAATGGTCATAGACCACGAGGCAGACCAATAAGATGGTAGAGAAATAATTTCCAGAGAGATCTGCAAACACTTGGTGTTACCAACAGCAAAGAGAAATAGCCAACCAGTGAGATAAGTGAAAGTGGGTGATATCTACAGCGATGAACCTCAAGGGCTTGGAATGCTGAAGAAAAAGAAGGATGATTTCATGACAAACAGTAATATCATGTACCTGCAAATACAGTTGTCTGGCGGCCAAAGACAGACCTTTCAAAAATTCCTGTATAAACAGATTATGATCACGTAGAGGAATCGACCATAAATCTTGTATATACAACTGTTAACTCTTTCAGGCCCAATCAACACTGTGTGAGAAGTTCCACTTTGCCCAAACCACAGTCTGCGCTGACGGTATGTCCCACACACGTTGATTCACATTCTGTTCCATATGAGTTTTTTTATGTTTGAAACTGCCATTAAAATATTCAGGGAAGGTTACTCCAACATTTTTACTTTGTTTACAAGTCTTTGTTTGTACATTTAGGCGCACATTTATCCAATTAATTTTCATACAGTGAGTTTTCTGATTTTGTCTTCGGCTAATCATGTGGCTGCAAAAACATGGTAAGTGAAGATATAATATATATATATATATATATATATATGTGTCAAGTTAGTTGCCTATCCTTTACAGGACGTTGCAGAACCAACCCTAACAGCCCCTGGCTGTTGTGTGGTTTCTCTAGGCAATTCACATCCAGTAGTTTGCCATTGCTTTCTGGACGGTCGGCTTTCTAGATACCACTGTCGAAACCAACACAAGTCACATTGCCCGCAGCTGGGATCAAACCTGGCATCCCGGCATTACGAAGCGAAGCGTTCGCATCGACTTAGCCACAGAGCCGACATATATATATATATATATATAAATATATATATATATATACGTATATATATATATATATATATATATATATATATATATATATATATATATATATATATATATATATATATATATATATATATATATATATATATATATATATATATATATATATGTGTATATGTATATGCAGGACATCTTGCTCATGATAGGAAGGTTTTCCGGAGGGTTGTTATGGCAGCGAGGTTCCGCGAGGGACATGCTACTGAATGAATGAATATGTATATATATGTATATATATATATATATATATATATATATATATATATATATATATATATATATATATATATATATATATATATATATATATATATTCATTATCTGTGATAATTTCATAAAGAATACGTTCTTGAAGTGACACTGTCAGTGAGAGCGCGAATGATGAGGAGAATCTTGAAAATTATAAATCTTGAAATAGGTCGATAGTAGGAGAAGGGGGTGTGTCCATCAAACGGCAACGTCTGGTGTTTACTTTGTGAAACAAAGTTGATCCTGATGAGTGAATTCGCACACAAAGGTGGAATATTGGCGCTAGATAAAAGGTAGGCCTATTTTCTACAAGGTCTCCAAGTTTCATCATATTCTAGCCACTCGTTTGCATGTAACTAATATTTTTGTATATCATGTTGGTTTTTTCGCGGTAATGCCCAGAAGCTCAGGTTATAGGGGCAGTTAGGTTCAGGGCCCCAGGTCTGGTAGGGTTAAACACACAATACCATTCAGATTCAAAATGTATATTAATTCTTCTTTAAAAAATTGTTTACACTTTTATAGTGATCAGAAATCTATTAAATTCTCTATTTTTGTTTTCTTTTTGTGTTTCACACAAATTGGTTAGTTAACAGCATCTTGTCTTGGAAACTGACATCCTAGAAGATCTAGACTTTAGGGAAAATTGGCTAGTTAACAGCATCTTGTCTTGGAAACTGACATCCTAGAAGATCTAGACTTTAGGGAAAATTGGCTAGTTAACAGCATCTTGTCTTGGAAACTAACATCCTAGAAGATCTAGACTTTAGGGAAAATTGGCTAGTTAACCGCATCTTATCTAGGAAACTGACATCCTAGAAGATCTAGACTTTTGAGAAAATTGGCTAGTTAACAGCATCTTGTCTTACCAGAGGGAAAGAGAAAGAAGGGGCGCCCAAAAACAACATGAAGACGAACAATGGAAAGTGACCTGAGTGCAGCATCTCTGACATGGAAAACTGCACTGAAGATTGCACAGGACAGGAAAGCATGGAAAGTCCTCTCTGAAGCCTCATGTGCCACTAGGCATAACGAGAACTGATGATGATGATGATGATTTCAGTTTAAAAGTTTAATCTGTATACCTGTAATAAATTTCTGTCCACAATCAAGATTTTTCCCTGTGTGGGTTCTGGGGCTCCACTGCGGGGAAAACAAGAATAGACCCACTGCCTCCCCAAAAGCATGTTGTAAGAGTCAACTAATTGAGGAGCTTCCTTTGAAGACGGAGTGCGTCTGCCGGAGAGGCAAGGAACCAACAGTCTGTATTCAAGAGAATGAGATCTGTAAAACTGATGCACACGCAACACTCAGGTTCTGGAGCAGGACTGCAGTTCAGTAGTAGACGAGCAACCAGAACCTTCCGCCAGAGTTTACAGCTGGTGAACGCGAAGAAGAAGAAGAAGAAGAAGAAGAAGTGCAGATCAGAAACCCAATACTTTCATAGGTTAAACACAATATGATATAACAGTTCTCACATCAGATGTCTCAGTTAAACACACCATAATATAACATTTCTTACATAAGATATTTTGGTTAAACATAATAAAACATTTCTTACATAAGATATTTTGGTTAAACATAATAAAACATTTCTTATATCAGATGTCTTGGTTAAATACAACATAATATAACATTTCTTACATCAGATGTCTTTGTTTAATACAAACTAATGTTAAGATTTCTTACATCAGATGGCTTGTGGTCAGTGGACAAAGGAACCATTTTTCCCTCAACTGTACACATGACTGCTCTAGAATCCCCAATGTTGGCCACCGTCAACACATTTTCTAACTGGAAAACAATGATACTTGTTGATCCTGAGAAGAATAAATCATCAACCATAACGCAACAAACAAGTATCAATACTGAAGTAACTTTAAAGTAAAAGAAATCAACAACCATAACGCAATAAACCAGTATCAATACTGAAGTAACTTTAAAGTAAAATAAATCATCAACCATAACGCAACAAACCAGTATCAATACTGAAGTAACTTTAAAGTAAAATAAATCATCAACCATAACGCAACAAACCAGTATCAATACTGAAGTAACTTTTAAGTAAAAAAAGTCATCAACCATAATGAAATAAACCAGTATCAATACTGAAGTAACTTTAAAGTAAAAGAAATCATCAACCCTAACGCAATAAACCAGTATCAATACTGAAGTAACTTTAAAGTAAAAGAAATCAACAACCATAACTCAACAAACCAGCATCAATACTGAAGTAACTTTAAAGTAAAAGAAATCAACAACCATAACTCGACAAACCAGTATCAATATTGAAGTAACTTTAAAGTAAAAGAAATCAACAACCATATTGCAATAAACCAGTATCAATACTGAAGTAACTTTAAAGTAAAAGAAATCATCAACCATAACGCAATAAACCAGTATCTATACTGAAGTCATTATAAAGTAAAAGAAATAATCAATATTAAAATATAAATTTTTACAATATAAATACTGAAGTAATAAAATAATATGTTTACGATTCAACTGATAATTCAACCATGCCATTCCAAAAAAGACAAAACCGACACTTCCGGTTTGCCCTATCCCCCCCCCCCCCCCCCACCCCATGAAAGTAGCTTTACCATCTTGCTATAGTGGCTAGTCTGCCAAAAAAGCATAGCTAAAAGCAATGGCATTATCTCCACCTGCCGATAAGTTTAGGAGGACAGGATTTCATAACATTTACTATAAACAGCACTGCGAGATTGGGGGGGGGGGGGGGGGGGGAGACGAGAGGTGTCCCATGTGATCAAATGGCTTTAAAAAATAGAAATTATGATGTTATCATTTCCCAATATCATTACTGGTTACCTGGAAACTGTGTTAGAAGATCGAGTATGAGCCGCTGCATATATTTTTTCAAGGTCAAAGGGAGGTAAATTTGTTCTCTGCTGTATTCATAAATACTGATTACTTCTCTTATTTTGTATGGAAATTATTCATGTTTTGGTTCATAAATAGTAACTCCTTTGTGTGTGTGTGTGTGTGTGTGTGACTTGTGTTAAGGTTTTTCAGGGAATTCCTGAAATTTTCAGGCAATCTTGAAATGTTTACTGTGCGTCCACTTTCCAAAACGTCTCTCACATCTGGTGGTCTGTGCACCCGTTAGCTACGTAATAAAAATCTTTTAAAGGAGCTGTATAGCTCCTTTTTGTAATTCTAAAATTTTTTTTTTACGGGTTGGTCACCAAATCAGAATCAAACAAAATGAGCCACCAGCTAGAGCGTACTACATGAGAACAGCAGGCTACAAAGTCAAGAGGCGAATCAAGAAAGAAATGGATGGAGGGAGTAAAAGACCCGACAGAACACAATATACAGTGGAACTCCAATATTCGACATTAATACGTTCCTGAGGGAAAGACAAATATTGAAAAGGATGAATACCAAATTAACTAAAAATAGTTTAATCGGTTCCTAGCTTCAAATTTTACCCACCTATTCTTTAACAACAACAACAAAACTTATTAGAAAATCGATCTTGGAAATCAGTGCAAATACATTTTAATTACCTGTGAACCAGTGTACTTATTACTGCTTTATCACTATGACAGAGATTAACTTGCACTGATAACATGAATATACTGTAACTTAATAAAATGTTAAAAAGAAATTTCCCTTTTGGATTTAAAAAAAACCAAACTATTGGCTAACTGTTTGTAAGGGTAGTCACCTTCCATTATGACATCAGCTAATGTCACTTCTGGTGATTGATCTCCTGCTGATTCATCAACATTTCCAGACTATTTACCAGCATTCATTTTGTTTAAAGAAGTTATCCAATGTTGTTTGTTTTGTTCTGTTTTTTTATAATTTTATTTTTTGAAAGTGTCCAAACACATTGTCCTCAAATGAATCGATAGGCTAATTAACCAAAGCGATGTTTGGGTGCCATTTCTCGATGCAATTTTGCCCAAGTAGACAGCTCTTTGGTTAATTTCAGCACTTGCAACCGGCCCATCATTTTATTTTTCCTCATCTGATGACTCGCTGGCCACATCAGAGGAGGGACAAATATTGACTTTTGAGGGCGAATATAAAACAAAAATGTCAACAAAAAAGAGGACACACTTGAAAAAAAAAAAAAATTAATATTGGTGAGGATGAATATTGCAGTTCCAATGTAACATTAACACAAGCTGTACAATTAACAAAAGACAGAAAATGACATCTAACTCCTCTCTGCCATGCTTCATGGCACAAACAGCAGGAAAATAAAGATTATTTATAAATTACAACAGGGTATGACTATTAAAAAGTATGGGATCCATGTCGAACAGCAGAAAATAACAGGTGTCCACAGTTTTGAGCTAATTTCAGCAGCACTGGTCTACGCTAGGAGAATCTCTAGAGACATAGTCAGGAAGGACATACAGATCTATTACCTGAGAGATCCAGCCTGTCCCTGGACAGACAGACCAACTGGGCGTCAACTGTTCGAATCACACTGGTAAGCACCTACAAACAAAATCAATTGTGGAAACAATTCTAGTAACAAATCACAATAAATTTCTGAGATAAACTTTCATTTTTCATCTCACTATCATCAAACATCCTAACACAGATCTGTCAACAACTTCCTGACATAAAAAGTAACATCCATTACATAAACAAAAGCTATCCATGCACAAAATGTTTATCAGTAATCCTGTTATAATCAGTCTTCCTATTATCATTATCTTCTTCTTCTTCTGAGTCCAAACCTAGTGGTGTTGGTAGTCATGTCTCTTCACAACCTTCTGTCTTGTGTACTTTCAACCATACCATAATATCAAACTATCAAGCGCCTTCACTCTCTGTCTTCCTCTGCTTCTCTTCCCCTCCAACTTTCCCAGGGTCAAGACGTACACCATTCATCTTCTCATGAAATGACCAAAGAAGGTTGATTGTCTCCTTGTGTTATCATCAATCATCCCAATTATCATTAGACATTCTACTACAGATGTGTCAACTTCCTAAGATAATCACTCACTCATCCCAATTATCATCAGACATCCTATCCTAAACCCGTCATTTGTCTTCTTCTTCTTCGTGGTCACCGGCTGTGAACTCCAGCAGAAATTTCTGGTTCTTTGTTGACCTCTTGGTTTCAGTCTTGTTCCAGAACCTCAGTGCTGTGTACGCATCCATTTTACAGAATTGGCTTAGTTGTATGCAGACTGCTGGTTCCCTGTCTTTCAGGTGGATGCACTCTGACTACGAAGGATGCCCCCAGTTAGTCGACTCATACAACATGCTTTCTGGATAGGCAACGGGTCTATTCTTGTGTTCCTCACAATGGGGCCCTAGAACCCACACTCGGAACATCCCATTCTATTAATAACTATCCAACAAAAGTCATTATTACCATCAATGTTTGTTGTAAACAAGACTACACACCACACATATAAGCTATATGTGGGTATGACAAGCTGTGGTTACCTGCTGCACCATATCTGGGTCCGTATAAAAGTTTCCCTGTGTAAATTCTTTACGTAAAGAACGAAACAACTGGTCCTCGATGTATTCCGCAGCAAACTGTGGAAATGTGTTTAAAGGTGATACATTAAATCACACTTGAGGGAGCTTCTAGAGCAGAGCTATTCAACTGGCGGCCCGTGGAGGCCTAGCAAGTGACCCGTGGATCATTGCCATCTTTCTATGCTGATGCTCTTGCCTCTACCCCGTGACGATCTCCATTTTCAAAATGTTGGCCCCTGAGTAAACTTAGTTGAACAGTCTGTTCTAGAGTATTAGTCTATCTGATAAGTTATCTGAATAATACAATGTAGTATCCAAGAAAGGTAGCTGTATACACACACCAGATTCTCTTTCCAAGACTTGTTTCATCGCCTCTCTAGAGAGGGACAGTGTTTTATATTCAGACTGGGCACAACAGACTTCGTCAACATTTGTTTAAATTTTTCGGTGTAGGAAATACAGAGACATCTACCTGCAGCGTGGCACCCGAAAATGCTGAGCATGTGCTCCAAAACTGTCAACTGTTTGCTGACAACAAAGACGCAATCTGGCCTGTTCCAACCACTATGAAGACAAAGCTGTATGGTACACAAGAGGATATAAACTGCACTATAGCTTTCATAAAGGCTACTGGCCTCCTAATATAAGTTTTCTGACAGAAGAATTGAAGAAGAAGAAAAAGAAGAAGAAGTCTCTCTGATCATGTATACAGGAGAATCCTAGAAAATGTACGATCATTTGTGAAAAATAAGTTTAAGAGAAATCTTAAAGAGGTGGAGTGGCATAAAGGGTATCACGTTAGCTATTGGCTTATGCGGTTTGGACTCATGAATAAGAAGAGGCAATCACACATTGTCCTGACACACCAATAAGATGATGCATACTATCATGATCCACCAATAAGATAATGCATACTATCAACTCGACTGCATAAATAACTGAAAGATATTAACTTATAACTGGAGAGAATGATGCAGCGGGGCGTATCTGTGATCTGTGGGCACCATCTGGGAAAAGACAGAACTTGTAGTTGAGTAGAGGACAGCGGTTACCATCAGTATGGAGACTCTTCCTTGGCTGCCGAGGAGGGAGATGGAACTAATATAGTCTTGTCCTGAATGCTGTGATGTTGAATCTTTACCAAGATATGTAAAAAAAAAAAATAATCTTTAATCTACACAAGATATATTGTTGAAATACCACTTGTTCAATAAACTAAAGACAGCAAAAATTGGCAAAACATAACTGGAAATTTACTGAAAGTCTCATATGCAGAACAGAGAAAATTATTCTGGTCACTGGTGATGAAAATATTTTCAGCATTCTCAATGTGGGTTCCAGGGCTTCATTGGGGGAGGGGGTGGGGTGGGGACAGACCCCCTGTGCCTTTAACAAGCATGTCATAAAGGTCGACTAATTAGGGGTGTTTTCTTCAAAGGTGTGCATCTACCTGAGAAAAAAGGAATTAGCAGTCTTGCATACAAATAAGCAAGACCTGTAAAACAGAAGTGCATGCAAAACTCAAGTTCCGGAACGAAAGCAAAGTCCAGAAGTGGATGAACAACCAGAACTTTCCACCAGAGATTACAGGTGGTGAAGGGAACAAAGAAGAAGAATGATGCCAAGGACTGTACTGTATGGATGGTGGAAGTTAAGAAGGGAATAGGGATAAAGAAGAAAATGATTGCAGGCAGGTTAAAACCTGACCCTCCTCAGAAGTATTTGAAATACACACAATGACAATAATGGTCCTGAAATACACTGCTTTAATTGTAGAAAACTGTTCTTAATGCAAGAAGGTCTTCTAGTAACGCTCGTCATTGTCACAGGCTGTGATTCCCACGCCTCCCTAGAGCACAATACAACACTATCATTTGGAAACATGAAAAGGTGCCAACAATATGTCCAATATGTGTACACATGTTCATGCTAGGTAAAGACAGTCCAAGAGCAGAGATTGATCTAAAAAAATACATGAGACCAGCATCACAAGCCCAGTGTCTGGAGCAACGCAGGGCTGCCGTTGAACAGGGTATCTGGGATCTGCCCTCTTGATCTGCCATCCAGATGATGATTTTATAAATCTCTGGGTGTTGAACCAAACCTTCAGGTAGCAGTTAGGAGGTCAGAAACAGATTAATCAATCATAAACCAGATGTTTCACAAGTGAAATTAGATTCTTTATTTTTTTAACACTGTTGTGAAGCTGGCTCGATTCACAGAGCAGTGTTAAACTGTTATGTGACATAAATCACGTCTATGAGACATGATTAATGTGACAAGACACTGACAATCTCTTAGATGTACCATCATCAAGAATAAAACATAAAAACAGAGTTAACTCTTTGAGTCCCAAGGAACGCATCATGCGCTAATTTGTTACTACTTCGCGGCCAAAACAGCGCGTGAAGTGTGACGGTTTTTAATTTACCACTTATCGGTAATTACACCCGAACCGCTCAATTTAAACTTCCTTTCCGGTTCTCAAGTGTGCAGTGAACACACTTGGAGTGCATTCGTTTGGGTCTGGGAGTTTTCAACGCTTTAAATCGATATTTGTGTGGTCTACTGCGTTACCAAACAATTGTCTGAAAACAATATGTCCAATCAGTCATCGTCTTCACGCCCATCAAAGCGATTTACTGCTTTTGAATCATCAAATTTGATAAAACAGTGGATCGATTAAAGTAATGTGGAGTTGGATAATTGTTAGTAGCGACGTAAAATTTCCCCAAACCGTTGACGAGTCAAGTTTTGATGAGGAATGTGTGGGTAATTTACCTCCTGCTAAGAGGACAGAACTGACTAATTCTGCCATGGTAACACAAGAAAAGCACCTCGTAACGCGACACCAGCTAGTTCAAATGTCAGCGCTTCTAGTACTACCATCCATATCATCTAAAACCATAGATATATATATCTATGAACAGGTTGACATGTTTACAGTGCCTTTACAGTTTTTTCTATGTGAGGAATTCAATTGTTTTCAGAAAAGTCACTGTTTATGCCACTGGAAAATATATTTTGACGTGTTATGGCAGTGTTATTAAAATTGTTATGGAACAACAACTATTGCACATTTTGCTTTAATATTGGCTGTGCATACTTATAAGTGGTGTACCTTCCTTTGTGATGCATTTTGGTTATACTATATCAAGAATTTTGTGATCAGCTTCTGGGTAAGTGGAAAAAACTTGTTCTTAATTTACTCACCTCTCAAACTAAGACACTGTTTTCTATAATAAATACTAACTAACAGTATTATTGTTTGTTGTAGCAGTATGCTAATATTAATCCTTATCCATTTATATTTTATGTATGATATGTGTATGTTGGACATCAGCTGCAGTTGTGTGGTTGGTTTTAAAGTGCTGCATTTGTTAAAAGTCAAAATTATATCCCCCCCCCCCTCCTCCCCCTTTGGCCTCTGATGCAAAACCCCTTGGGACTCAAAGAGATAACAAAGTTCATGAAAGTTTTTAAAAAAAAATTATGTGATAATGACAGTTCAAAAACTTCTATTACTTTATTGACAAGAATAAAGCACATATCGATAAGAATAGAGCACACATTGATAAGAGTAGAGGACATACAGATAAGAATAAAGCACAAAATGGAATCACCACCTCTCCGCCATGGCCATCAAACACGGCATACACCGATAGGTTATGTTCATAGTCGTGAGTTATCGAATTGAACCGATCTTCCATAGTTTTTCTTCGACCTTGAATGGAAAATGCTGCCATGTCGTAAGTTCTCGCCTCATGACAGTAAGTCCTGATAATACCCTTGCCATCGTTATCGCGACTGTCTCTTCTACCAAATAAAATATCCTTATAAACGGTAGAATCTGGCGAGCCAAGACGGGGAACCTCGGTGTTCTTGTACTTCCATTGACAGAAAGTCACCAAAAGACTCCGCAGCAGACGTAAAATGTTCAAGAAAAACAAGGCGGCTACAAGGATTGCGATGGATTCTGAACAAAATACCCAGTCTCTGATAAAATATATGCCTGTCGCAAGTATCCTGGAGACAGTATATGCCATTTGTCTCAGTGGCGAAGGTTTAAAGACGATGCAGAAAGTTGTGTTGTTTTTACTCACGACTGCCTCGGGCTCGCCATTGTTTGTTGCCAGGTGAAAGGTCACGATTCATGCTAACTACGGTTGTTTTTGAGTCTTACTTGGCTAGGCTCCCGGTGTGTTGCTTTAGGGGCCCTAAAGGGGACATGGGGGGTGGGGGTGTATTATGCATACTGCGCTTCCATCATACAAGTCGTAAAAGGCGACTATTAATGGCTTGCTTGAATCAGATGCGCTGTGACAAAAGGTGTTGCCTAAGTTGTAAACAACTATTATTCTAGGGTGCACTGGAGAGAGGTACCTGCTTGACTTCCCTACCATAAACGAAATCTGGAGGGCTCGTGCATACCTCAAGATAAGCTCAGATCTGAAGCCCCCTTTGCACCACATGCTCTTCAAGAAAACGGGCAATAGGCTTAAAAGGGGACAAATCCTGGCTGGGTAGGACAGAGGATGACATTATGCAGGTTTGCAGCCTTGCATTCAAGTGAGGAATGGATACCAGCGTCTAAAGCGCCCAATCTCACATTCTCCTGTGTCTTGACGCTTGATAGGAATTGTCGGGAGCAGAATCTTGCTGCTTTCAATGCCTAGGTATGCGCGCGTATCAGTGACAAGTCAGATGAGACAGATGTGGTGATCTTCACAGACGGGTCCGTTATACGAGGACACAAGAGCGCATGGGCATTTACAGCTCGCTCTTCAGGCAGAACAGTTCAGGAAACAAGCGGTGCCTTCTCCGTGACTACCAGCAGCATGACGATGGAGGTGATGATGGTGACACAGGCTTTCATTTGGCTGGGATCATAGGACTATTCCCAAGTGTGTGCTGAGTGACTCTTTGAGTATGATCCGGCGGGTCGAGGCAGGCTGGTTACGCAGACAGTGACTTGAGTCGTTGCAAAACTTTCCTGTGTGTGCAGTTACTTGCATATTCGTCCCAAGGTCATGCAGGCGTTGTTGGTAATGAGAGAGCTGATAGACTGGCAGGTGCTGCATTAATTGAAGATGGCCGGCCCATGGATCACGCAGACATTGTCATTGCCCTTAGAGAGATAGGACATTCTAAAGATTTTGGAAGCAACGTGCCAATATCATTGCTAAGAATACGCGAATTGGGAGTAAAGATCGGCACGGCCAAGCATGAGAAACACACCGGACGAATTTTGTTAACCAACATAGGACTGGTACTATTAACCGCACGACGTTGATGATTATGCTAAGAGGGGAATCTGAGTGCCTATGGGTGTGTCCGGAGTGCTGTGAATATAATTTAACTCATAACTCATAACTCAATCCTACAACCACTCTTTTGTTAAAGAAAATCCGCAGTTAAAAAAAAAACTGAAACGAAATTTTGACGAACTTTACCCTTTATGCGGGTTGTTCGTTTGCTTGCGTAGGCCACAAGCGGTCCGTTAGCCACCGTTTTGAGAGCCTCCCACATAGGATGCCCTTTGGGACTCTACCATCCTCCAAGTGTCCCGCATCGATCTTCTTTTTGTAGAACGGTAATGAAAAAGTGCATTAATTTATAACAGCTGTGAAACGCTAAATGGGTGCAACGAAAACCATAAGCCGAAAAACAAACACAGCAACAATTTACAAACACAGTAAACCGTAATGCTTTGTCTAGAATAGACAAACATTTAAGAAAGAGGTTTGTTTGAGATGAATTCTGTCCGTATTCCATAGTTGTGGATTTCAAGCTGTACGATATATATGTCCTATTAAGACACCTTTATAAGGGTGTCTAGTTTTGGTCGTATTCTTGGTAAACTTATTTCATAGCGAGGCGCACAAGCCTTTTGGAGGTGATAAGTTCGATTCCCGGCACAGTAACCATAGCTTTCGATTTTTAAGTTGTCTAGAGTGTCCTAGTGTGTCCTTCTATCTTTCTACTTCTTTCTATGAGTGCCGATTAATACAGTATCTGTTTGTTTACGGTCTTAAGGGTTTATCCCTCTGTTTATTTATGTGAACAAATTAGGGCTGTACCGAATAGTGGGACCAACTATTCGGCCTAATACGAATACGAATAGTGTATCATCATCATCAGGTGCCTTGCCGGCTGGCCTGGATGACAATGCCTCTCCACAATTTGCGATCTCCTGCAGCATGTATCGGTTTGTGTGCTGACACACCTCCATGCCAAGCAACAAGACTGTCACGAATCTTCTATCGTTGTCTTTCTCTATCCCTCCTTCCACAGATCTTTCCAGTGGTCACCGCGTGTTCCATTTTCCCTCTTCTCATAACATGGCCGAAAAATGACGACTGTCTCCTTCTGATGTCTGTGATAAGTTGACTTCGGGCTCCCGCCTCTTTCAAAACCATCTTCCGCTCGGCCGTTCGCTCGATGTAATTTAAAAGCACCTTCATATTCTCGTTAGCAATATCTTCAAATTTGATTTGGACGAAGACACCCTGAAAGAACAAAAAAATGCATGATCTCTCTGCCTCTCTCTCTCTCTCTGCCTCCTCTCTCTCTCTCTCTCTCTCTCACACACACACACACACACACACACAGACACACACACATACACACACACACATACTGCGGTTGGCATTTTATGCAGTTTGTACCACGCAACCGAGTCGCAGTTTCCCCTGCTACGACAGACTTAGGCAACAGCAACGATTGTGTTAATGAGAGTGTTATTTCAGTCCTTCGCAGTGTATGCAGAAACGGGTGTAAGGTAACCACTATTCGTATTCGGCCCGACTGCAACTATTCGGCCGAATACCGAATAGGTATTAGGTCCACTGTTCGGCCCCGAAGCGAATACGAAGCGAATATTCGGTAAGCCCTAGAACAAATGTCCTGGTGAAAACGGGAGGCATATTCACTCTATGCACGCTTATCTACCCAGGGTGCTGTGAATATGGTCGGCAGACATAATGGTGTTGCTGTCGTGTTAAATCAGAACCTCGCATGCAGATTCATCATTTGAGCATTTCCGCTGCATTATTCATGAGCAAAATTTGTGTTCAAAGATTTCAAAAGTGGATCATGTGGTCACAGAGGGAGCGAAGTATGTTAGAGACCTCGATCTCATCCATCGTCAGCTCATTCAGTTGTTGGAAGATATGGACAATCATTTTACCGATGTTACACCA